TAGCTTAAAGCTTCTCAATTCCAACTTTTTCAGCACAACGAGTTGTCTTTCAGACATTGAAATGCATAAATATCGGTTTTGTCGATTAGAAATTAAGGTTTAAATAAATATTTAGTTTTAAAGAATCTCATTACCTTAAATATGGTCAAAATTCTTTGGGTTTCTCTTCCTTTGCTTGAGTTATGAAGCGAAGCGCTCTCTCCCGCCAAAATTMCAAACGCGGCCGCACAGGCAAGACACAGGARCCCCAAAGCAGGTATAAAAGTTTTTAAGAATTAATATAAACGTCATGAGCTTTGCATCATTCTTTCAATAATTAAGCTTCAGGAAATACCAAAAATTGCATAAAAAGCTTTCATTAAATGCGTATTTGAATTTCTAATTTTCAGTATTTTTTCTTTCTTTTGTTTTCCCCCGAGGAGCCTGCGATATATCCCAGCGGTAAGGCTCACAAAGGAAAATAGCCGCCATCTTGTTTTTTTGGCGTCGTTTTGTAAATCAAATTTAAATTTCACYTAAATGTTTATTTTTCTCTTGATGTCTTGACGAAATGCCCAGAGAAAGGAAGCTGCCAGCAAAACTACGTGGTAGGATATGCTTTGTTAATTGTGCTGATTAATTTTATCTTGTTTCAACTGTCATTTTGGTCACTTTTGACGATAATTTCGTGACACAGGYTTACTACACACAAGTGACCTGTAAGACAATGTCAGTGGTCAATATTTAAAAGCATTTGGCGTCTTTCTACGTCACTTATGGCATAAAATGATGACATAATATTGTAGTTTTAWGATCAACTCAGGCTTGGCATACAATGTTCAGTGATTTGTAAGTTTGAAACTTGACTGTATTGTGGACCCTTGATGTTTTGTTTGTGTTTTTTTGAGGAAGAGGATATGCTTTGTTTTGACTCTTTATAATCTAATTAACTTCCACTCGACGCTGCTTCACGAAGAACATTTTTTATGATGTTGTTATGAATTCATAAATGGAAATTCAAATCAAGTGAAATCATCTCTTAAAAAACGATGATCTTCCTCATTTATTGTCACACAACACTAAACTGTTACTTTACATTGTAAGTTTAGTCCTAGCTTGTGATTTCAGTGAGCTTACCAAACAATTCAAGATAGGCAGCTTTGTCTTCAGTCAATCAAAGAAATATATATCATTAAGATTAAACTAAAAAATCCATATCTGCTGATGTGTGCATGCATGCATGTACTCATGTACATGATGAGTGGTCTCAATGTAAGCTTAAACGTTCTTGACAGTATATGAGTGGAACACTTTTTAAGAAACATTTTGCACAAAATTACACTAACCCAATAATGGAAGACATAGAAATGTATCAACATTTTGTTTAAAGGGATTTCATCCCTAATTATATCCATTTTGAAATCACAAGTGAATTCCTGCAATCTTATTGGTTCTTAGAAGGTTGATTTCATCCTAAATCGCACTTGAAGCAAATATTGTATTTGTACGAATTAATAAAATTTTGTGCTGTACAATGTGTTAGATTTCAATGTGTTAGATTTCTTTACTCCGACGAAGGATTAACATCCGAAACGTCAGTAAGTTTTTCCACATACTTTTTTACGGTGTTAAATTTATCTTTTCACATAACTGTTAGATTTCAAAATGGATATAATTAAGCGGTAATTGAACTTTGTGTTGTGCAATTTTGGTTCAAAATCAAACTTGTGATTACAAATCGCACTCCCGCTATACGGTCATCCGATTTTGAATCATGCATTTGATTTTGCACTTTTTTGCRCTCCWCTCAAGTYCAATTACCATTATTAATAGTGATTACCTTCTAGCCCGTGGTATTTTGGGTCATYTAAAAATATAGAAGACAAAGTCAGCTTTTTTCTTGTATATAATAAAATGTTATAATCTTTTCTTCGGTGGTTTAGATTCAGCTACAATGGAAGACCTAGATGCCGCTGAAGATGAAGGACTGGGCTCTGCTCCCGATAGTCCTTTGAAACTCCAGAGAAAGGAGTCCACTTCAAGCTCATCCGATATGGCAAGTCCAGGAGAAAAATACAGCTACCATGTGAACAACACTACTAGTGCAATACATATGCCGCAAATGGGTAATATATCACATGTACCGCCAAGTTTAAATCAAAATCGCTACCAAGGGCAAATGGTAAGGAATGTGTTTTTGTGTTTGTGGTTGGATAGTAGCAATATCTCTCAAATTACTATCAAGATATTGAATCCTTATTAACTTCTATACTGCATCTATAAAATGGTTAGCTCTTACATGAGTATACAGCAACATGCAGAAATCAGATCATTTTGACTCATATTCCAAGAAATTATGGGATATCATCGGATAATCAAGACAAGTTGTCTAGCATTAGCTCTTCCTGAAAAAATATTTGTTATGATATCCCATAATTTCTGATGTATTTCATATATACTTGAAATATTAGCAAAAAAGGTCATACTTTCTGCCTTTCTGCATATTGCTGTATATAACACATAAAGGTAAATATATAAGGTTTTTTCTGTTAACTACAGTTTCAAGGCCCAAACAATGGATCCTCAATGCCGTCACTAGCAGAACCAGTTTACCCTTGTGGAATCTGTCAAAAAGAAGTTGATGACAATGACGAAGCTATCCTGTGCGAAACAGGGTGTGGCAAATGGTATCACAGAGTATGCACAGGTCTTACAGTAGCGGCRTATCACATGCTTACAAACTCAACCAGTGCTGAATGGGTCTGCAATAGCTGTATAGAAACTAAGAACATTCCTCTTGTCAAGCTAACGAGTTAGGGATTTATAAACACCTGTATATATCATATTATTAATACCTTTCATATTTTAGTCGGAAAAACTGAAGGAGTGGTTAGAGGTCTCTGTAATCGCAGACTATTCAGACAAATATATCTGTGCACCAGCACAATAGCACAAAACATACCTCAACTCTCACTGTTAATGTTCTTTTTATCCTGAATATTGTACAGTATGAAAGAGCCTGTTCTTTTTAACATCAGGCAAAATGCAGCTCTTGTATCTGGAGTACAACAGTTAGTGGCCATTTTTATTAATAGGTCAAAATAACAAAGTTTTGTTTGGTGTCCAATGTGAAATTTCTGCCAAGAGTGTTTTAATCTATAGGTTCACATCTACCTTTTTTGCTCCATTTGACCCAGTGATATCTTGAACAGTAGCTAAACCATTCGACCAAAGACAGCATTTAAGCTTGCAGTGATAGATACATGTGCCTGTGAATAGATTATTCTCTTGGAAGTGAATATTTCTCTATCACTGCAGGCTACTGTCACACTTTGATGCAGTTACTTGTCAAGATGACACTGAGAAGTGTGTAAAAGGGAACATAATTTTGTCTCTTCCTATTACAAAGATTTTATATGGATCACATAATGGTTGTACAAAAGATGTGAAACTTTGTAATTTTGGCATCAAAGGTGCTTTTTTCCACTTACCAGAGTTAACTTTTACCATATGAATGTTCTTAATGTAGGAGAGATGAAATGAGTGCAAGCTTGAGATGTAAAATATTAGTTGAGCAAGAGCAAGATTTGGTTACAAAACAGCCAACATAGAAAATTTCAGTTAATTGGCCATATTGGTGWACTGTCAGTATACCTCAGTAGTTACGTTCAAATATCCATACTTAATACTATTAACTCATGTATCAAAATAATAAGTAATGAAAACATATTTCAATAATAATGTAATTTAATGGAACTTTTTTACTTGTAAAATTCAATTTGTGGATTAAACTTATAGAAGAAAACATACTCTGTTGTTTGACAAACAAGAAATGATTCTTCATTGAATTAAATATTTCACATTTTGATGATTTGATTTTATATTTTAGTGCAAGCAATGCACGGTATTTATTATTTGTTCTTTGTTTTCATGAATTARCTAGAAAAATATAGTATTYTGCTATTTTTTCTTTATTTTTCATGTACAATGTAAGCATCTTCCCCACCCTACCCTGGTAAAATTYAAATTAGTCCTAAAACATCTTTTAAGTATGCTCCACCCTCCCCTTCCATCATGGTCGTTGTCATATCTTTGAAGCCAAGATCTGCGGCTATTCTGTACCTCACTCTCAGTTCTGGTAGATCTGTTAAAAGCTTTTTCATATTTTGTATCTCTTGGTTTGAGTGATTGTCACTGGTTTTGTATCTGAAATGCAGTGAATTTCTTAACATTAGCATTGAATAGACCAGCATACCTCTGTTTATTCTTCTTAGTTATCCCTTTATTCATTTGTTCATTCATCCATTCATTTTCCATCGTTATTTCATTAATCTCTTCAGATACAAGGACTATTCTTAACAGCTTGTGTATTGTACTCACTTTGTTGCTACATCCACAAACAGTACGCTGGGAGGAATCATGACTGATCTAAGCTCATGCCAGTATTTAAAATCYCCATTTATGACCACATGGTTGWAGACAGCCTTAACCCATAATGATGGGCCCTTCTTGCTGTAGGCATCCACAACTAGAAGGGACTTGAATACAAGAAAAAAATTGATATGAGACATTCATAATGAATAAATAAAATCCTCACTCCAAGGGAATTACTGACAATAACTCTCTTCTATTATGATGAGAGTTAACCAACCCAGTCCATCTATAATCTTACCTCAAAGAAGTGATTATGCTGTGCCAGAAAGTTTCTCAAACCTCTTTCATCGAGATTGATAACACTGATTCCCAAAGGTAGAAAATGAATCTGTAGTTGTACAAGTCTTGCATGCTTTAAACACATTTGGGATAGCTTAAAACAGCTATCCTAAAATACAATGAAACAAGATATTACATTGTGATTACATTATTGCATTATCAAAAATAATAAATCTTCAATTTCGTTTATCTCAACTACTAGTCATTTAATCAACCACTGGCAAGTCTAATGAAAGTACAGCCATTATGAACTGCCTTAAAATTTTATACCTTTTTGTAATAGTCAGTAGCATACTTGAACGAGTTCATGATTGATGTTAGCTTTGCTTGCAACTCGGGCTTTGCAGCTACAAATAAAAAGATACAATGAATGAGAATCAGAAGTACTTTTTTTAAAATCCATATCTAGAGTAAACATTCCAAACCATGTACACTACATTACTTACAAATCTTCTGTTCTTTTAGTTCATTCAGCTGATCAAAAGCAGTGTCTTTCCATCTGTCTGCCAATTCACGATGCATACTAAACCGCATTGCAACCATTTTGAACTTTTCTGTATCGTCAGGATGWGAKCGTTTTAGATATTCRAGYAAGGCAACTTTCAGRTTRTTYTCCTAAGATATTTGTACAAATGCTGTTAGGTTTTCAGAAAAGGACATGTTTATTACTTCAGGTACTACATACTTTATCAATCAAGCCTCTTTGAAAAAGCAATTCAAAGTAATGATATTCTAGTAGAGTGTCAAAGATGTACGACATCTCCCGATATCTACCAACACCAGTAAGCAGGCGGACCTACAATTAAACAGAGTAGAGTGAATGTTATAAGGGATATGGATGGATAAAGAGATGGAATAAGCAGTCCCCTCTAAAGCCATGATAATAATTAGCAAAATGATAAATAAATGTTTTGAATAAATGAATGAACATGAATAAATGAAAAAAATAGATGGATGCATAAATGGATGGACAAATAAGTTAAATGTTCATATCTACATTACCATTAAAGGGAATTTCTCAGCTTTTGCAATTGCTTCAGTTAGAAGTTTTCCACACTTAAGAACACCTGTTATTCCTTCCATATTACAAGCCATTGTATGACACTCATGAGCACGAACAAGGAGCTCTACTTCTAGACTAAGAGCTAAAATGAAAATATTACTTATTGGTAATTGATTCGCAATAGCAACTTCTATGAAAAGAAATTAAGTAATTACAATTTTAGAGCACAAGTCATCTCTTTGTGGCAGAAGGCTCATTTTAGTAGCTTTAGTATCATCCAGCAACTAGGAGCTACAGTGCCCCCCTCCTCCCCCCTGGATGGGACACTAGACACATATCAATTTAACATCAACTTTACCTTTATCACTAGCATTTCCAGAAATGCGTTCATCTGCTATACTTCCAGCTGTTTCCAGGAGACGGTTGCCTAGCAATGCTTGGTCTGAACACAGTTTAATGACTTCAATGATGTCATGACATGACGGTGCTGCATTGAAGATAAGTTCATGGTCCCCACTACTGCTGGACAACTCTGTATAAGATTAAAATGAGTGTCCACTATAGAGTTATTGATTGATTGATTGCCTTATTCATCTCCTCAATTCTCTAATTAATTAATTAATTAATTAATTAATTAATTAATTATTAATTACTAAATCAAATACCTACTGGGACGCTAAAAAAAGTCAAGCTTTGACAGGCTGCATTCCTTTTGTTTTTAGGGTTGTTTACRTTCTTTWGCCATGGGGTTAGGGTTAGGTATGKTASATTWMGTACCGTTTATGTGACCGTTTCATGCAAAATGYCTATTTCTTCATTCAYTCACTCTTTCAWCTTTTTATCTGTTCATCCATCCATTTCTCATTCATTTGTTTTTTAATGTTAAGTAACTCACTTTCTTTATACATAATTGTGCTATAGATTCAGTCAATGTTTTATCCATTCAYTAAACCATTCTCCCATCCATCCATTTAACCTTTCATTCATCCATTCAAAGTTGCCATTGCCAAAAACTATTTTTCTCCTACCTTCACCACAATAAACCCTTAATGACAACAATATGATGTCCTTGAGAAACCCCACAACCTGAAGGGGGTAGAAAAATGGTGTAAGAATTAGCAAAGAGGTTTAATTTATTCCAACAAATAATAATATTAAATTAGTGATGATTAAATTAATAGAATAACACATCATAACACTTATTCACCTCATTTGGATTAAGCTCAAATGCCTTGATGTAYGTWTCTGCCAACTTAAATCTTGAGTCAAAACCAGACACAAGTAAAGAGTGCAGGACRTTGAATGGTCTGTCTGTCACAATAGACTCATACTCAAGACCCAAACACTGCAAATAAAACAATCCATAAACACCTTACAGAGAAAAAACATTCGTCTTAAAAATACTTTGTAAAACACCAGTCCTTACTTGTGAAATTTTATAACAGGTCATAATCTGAGTGCAGCATTTCTTTCCACTCTTACAATAATACATTAGTGTTTCCATGGCAGTGATGGTATCTTCWACTTGGATCCAGTCCACAGAAATAGAATCATCAGCACGGCCAGCTGCKCCAACACTTTCAGAGAGACTACTGCTTAGAACGAAGCTGCCACTGCGTCTGTACCCATCTGTACTTGACCCATTGCCCGACATGCTTAGTYGGCGGTGAGGAGTCCGGTGAAGAAGATTCTTCATTGAATCCTCAAGGGTGTCAGAAAAACGCGTGCCTTGTGACAAGAAGATGCAGGACTAGAAACAAATGAAGCTTGTCAATGCAAGGACTGTCAATCATTATACAATCATAGCTATCTACAGCAGCTATCTTTATTATAGTTATCAGTTCATAGTGAGTCAATATCATGGATATATATAGTCTCCTTCAATATACAGTTSCTAAACAGTTTCAAAACCCAGAAAAATCCAGTCAGCTCACAAACTATCTTACCAACACAATGTCAAGGTCCCGATTAGTGTATCCAAAATGTGCAGCAAGTCGTCGAGCTTGAATCACATGACAGTTGTCAAGTAGTTGGCCAATGACCCTATCCAGCGCTGAAAATTCCTGTAACAAATTCATCATTTTAATAATATTTCTGTCAAAAAAAACACAGTCATAAGAACAGAGGTATCACTTCAGTTATCACATTGAAATTATCAATACCTCATCTGATGTAAGCAGATCTGTACAGGTAACTCTTTCGTCATCTAATATCTCATTTTGGATGAGTTCTGTTGCCTCGGCAACATCTCCAGTGGGAGCATCAGAGAAGGGCACAGGGAAMCCAGTTGCCCAGTCTGAAGATGATGGTAGGAAGTCAAGATGGCTGACAGAACGTGCAAATTTTACCTATAAAGCAGAGATTTGCTGGTCATTAAATTCTTGGAAACAATCACGACAGTATGTACGGTATTAGTATATGGCACACGCAACTTTGCGACCCAGACACATCTTGAAAACTAAATTTACCCAAATCCTAAATAATGCAGTCAACTATGTTATAAAGACAACAAAKTCAGTTTGAAGTTCTAAAAAGTGTTGGTTCTGGAGTTGAAATTGTCCCACAATGCCCTGAGTGACATGATACTGTATCAGGCTTTAAACAATTCAGCTTTCAAACATAATTCATGACAGTCTAAACTTTTATTTTGAACAAAAATAGAGACTCAAACCTCTCTGTTCTTTTCCATCTCTGCCCTGACACARTAAAGCCATATTCTTCTTTCTAAATCAACCATTTTTTCAGACAACTGCTCTGAGTTAGTACTTGACTTGGAATACCATTTCATTGTCATGGATAATAGACGAGATTTTTCTGTGTATGTCAACTCTGTATTGTCYGCTTGGGCCTGGAAAAAAATACATTATGTTCGTTGTTTAGTAGTTGGTTCAATCAGTAGTTTAGTAAATCAGTTCAAAGAGTTCTGTTCCCAAGCTAGTGGTGAATTTTTTCACAATTTTTTCACTTTATTGGCACTAATTTGCATTCAATACCTCAAAGAATGATGCTGCAATTTCTGGATTGCATCGGTTGTCTGTGAAACACTTGTCTGCTTTGTACCAAAAGGCAAGTCTTCCTTGTTTAATTTCCCAAAGAACTGAGCTTTCAATTCTCTCCCTTTCATTTTGCACCTAAAAGATATTACATGATATTGAACATGGGTCTTTTAAAACCAATATATCTTTTTGAAGACTTAATTCTTTGAAGTAGCATCAAAGAAGCTTCATCTAGGGAACAGATCTATAATCAAATGTTTTTTTTTCTCACAGAGGGAGCCTGCATGAACATAAACTCAAGCAATCTAAAAACTTACCTCATGAAGAGTTATTGGATCTTCTGGTAACTGCAACAGCCTTGCATATTCCCGTGCTTTCACAAACTCCTTGTGATGAAGAAGATCTTCCAGGATACGATTTTTCTTTTTTGATGCRTCTTGRCTGTTTTCATCCAACAGCAATGAAAAATCCACAACCACTTTTGTGTCTTGTACAATCTCGTTTATTTTATGTAACTGGTAGTAATTAGGTGCTGAAAATTGCAAAGGAAAATTACCTTATTTAATGAGACAACAAAGCCTTAATTTCCTTTGATTAATTTATTCCTTTATACTCAATATATCAAAGAATTTATTCCTTAGTTTGGATAAATTTTGTTGGATTTGTTAGACTACAGGATCTTTCTCATATCTCATTGGTTGACACTGAATCTTTCTCAAATCTTATTGGTTGACACTGAATCTTTCTTAAATCTAATTTGCCCATATAGAGATCTACAATGATTGGCTATTTTAACTCCAAACTCCAAACTACAATCCTACAATACTGAGACTTACTTTTGCATGCATAATTTCTCCCAAACAGAGCTTTAGCCAACAGTGAGAGAAGATGACCCAGTTCATATGTACTATCRCACTGGCGTACCATCTGCTGAGATACCTGGCTTGTCAATTCCTCAATCCACCTTAWCTCACGAGTGACAGTTAGATCAGCTTGACTCAAAATACTTTCTCTTACAGAAAGCTACAAAGAAATTAACAATTAGTTCCATCAACATTATCAACATCATCAGATCATCATCATCATCATCATCATCATCATCATCATCATCATCATCATCGTCGTCGTTGTCATCATTCCAAATATGATTGCCATAATGCCAGTGCCAGTTACCTTACTAAATGTTTTCTTGAACAAGTTGAGCTCATCCCGACAGTTCTCAAAGTCATAATGAACAACAAAGGACTCATGGAACCGCAAGAAGTGGAACATTGGGTTTGTCTGCAAAATGCAATACCTCACTAAATACTTGTATAATGCACAGTAAAGATACAACTGATAAAAGACCTATCTGAATCAACCAAGATCATTTAGAAGTTTTTACTTAAATAGGTCAGAAAACAATAATTGTGGGATTGATACATAATTTATAATCATCTATTAGATATTAACCAAATAGAAATATTTCAAGATGTCCATCAGATCACACTAACCGGTTCAAAGATATAAAAGGCTTTAGCTAGCGTYACRGCATATGTTGTTTTGTAGCTAACAAGGATAGTGATCATAAGAATGAGATCGCTAGTAGTCCATTGGCGCCAGTGGGTTTCTAAACAATGGAAAGAAAGCAATATGATTGACTAATTGATTAAATATTAAATAAAATTGATTGATTGCTAATAGTTAAATGTGAAAGAATTATTCATTGACATGATTGATTGATTGATTGAATGATTGATTGAATGATTGATTGATTGATTGATTAACTGACTGAATGATTAACTGATGGACTGACTTAATGATGGCCTGTCCTCCAGTGAAAACTGTCAACACAGATAATTTTTTCATACCTGAAATGTCATTAGCTACTTCAGAGCTAAAAAGTTCAAAGTCATATGTAGATAACATCCAGGCACAGATACAATCAATGGTTTTTGATTCCTAGAAGCAGATAATAAGTAAAAATTATTTGCAATAAAACAAATCTTTGAACGCCAACAACATGATTTTTACACAGGAAGCCCAGGATCAAAGCTGTCTAAACTAAAAAGTCACTTACTTCATAACAAGCAGCAAGAACTGCAAATAAAGGCCGATGAAGAGCAATAGCATGTGCAAGAAGAGATCTCCAAGGAATTTTAGCATCGTTACAAGCAAATAGCACTTCAAAGAAATCATCTGGTAACTTGTCAGGATCAAGTGGGCGTTCTAAATATTATACAGAGAGATTAAGGGTCAAAGTAGAGAGAGTTTCAGTTGTGGCAGGGTACTGACACATTGCCACAGAACTACATGTAGATGAATACATGAAAATTTCCACTGACAAATGGATGAATGAAGGGATGAATGAAAGAACAATTGTGCAAATGAGGGAAAAATTAGACAAAAGAAAAAATGAACAAGCAGCTGGATGATTGGATAGATAGTCAATGAATTGAATAAATTGGTAGCTCACCATGTGTATCATTAGAACATTTAGCCCCAGTGCTCTCATCTGCTGCTGTGACAGTACCATCTGTTGCACTACCAGAATCACCACCTTTTAGTTGTTGCTCTTTAGATTTGTCATCAGTTTCTTCACTACTACTTTGATGTCCAGCAAGAGAGTCTTTCCCTTGCTTGTTTAGCCCCATTCGAGCATAGAACTGTGCACGAATATCCTTGGTTGGGGTTAACACCTACAAAGATCACAGATATCAACTGATATTACCACAGTAGAAACTGAAAAATATCTCAATGGAAACCAACTGTTATCTCCATGGAAGCCAATTTATATGGCATGTCAACAGAGATCCGACTGAACTCAAAACTCAGATAATTAGTCTTGATTCTCTATTTAAGCACAAGTTTCAGTCTCATAACAATTTTCCTATAATTATAATAATAATTAATAATAATAATATGTGGTATTTATATAGCGCCGATATCCTCTGAGTTCAAAGGCGCTTCACATGTATAGATCATTTCACACGGACCGCTGTTTAAGGCGCAATTGGCAGCCACGCTGCTTACAATCATGAGGGGTTAGTAATTAGTATGAGTTAGTAGTAAGGCCTAGCCACACACACCGGGAATCATTCCCTACTCTTATGCGAACAGTGGTGTGGGTTCTTTAACGTCCCTCTAATACAGGTTAGTGAGTGAAGTGTAGAGAGACGGGACCTCCGATTTTACGTCGTTATCCGAGAGGACGMGAAGATCTTACCATTTTCAGATGGAGAAAGACAAAGGCAGCAACTTCTCCTCAATTATTTTAAGACCCTGAGTGTTGGTCCGGCTGGGGTTTGAACCTGCGACCTCCTGCACTAAAGTCCGATGCTCTACCTACTGAGCTAACTAATTATTATAATTACTGACAATTTATTGATTCTGACCTGTGTTTTTTCTTTCTTTGTTGTCTGTCTTCTCCTTCTCTTCTTTTTGGTAGGTTCTTCACCTTGTTCAACAGTTATTATCTGGACATTTTCAAATGCSAGTTTGAGATGCTCTTTGAAATGACGATTGGAAAAATGGTTTTCAATGACGTCAAGAACCTAGCAAGTAGATCAAAAATACATTAGGCTGTGAGACATGTTTTTCATCAATTGGAAAATTTGGAAAGACCTAATTGGCTAATGTGTTGTCAAGCATGTTACCACCCAATTCAACTCCTGTGGGAAAAATATCTTTTGTTTCTTAGAATTCTACTGTGAAATTAAAATAATGAACAATGAAACTTACTCCCTAAAGGTTTGGATTAGGTGGAAACGTTTTTAGCAATGTGTAAGCTGATTAAGTCTATTGTCTTCAATTTTGAAATAATAATAAAGATCTTACTAGTACATTAAATAATAAATTTGACTTTTAGAGTTTTGAGAGCTCCAAAAGTTGCCTAGCAAAACATTAGTTTYGAGATCATACATCACCTGTTGCTTAGGAARCTGCCATTTTTGGGCAAAGCAGACAAAAGGAAGCCATTGATCTGCCACGGCACAGTCAATCAAATACTGTGGATTCAAGTCTATCYTATGGACATAGCAGAAATCCATGACCAATGTCCAGTGTTGGCTTGCCTCAAATGATGTCCTAAAAACATCATCATGATTGTTTTATTATCATTCTACTTACACAGTACACTGGTGTAATTACCACATATTATTAAACTGTTTAATCAATGCTTTATCAAATGTGTACATTGATATTCAATAAATAAATGCATTGTCATTATTTCCAAAGCTTCTGATAATTAAAAAAATAGTTAACAATGCAACCTACTTGTCTGGACATGAYCCACTGATTGCATTACTTGTAGCTTTTTCCAGAGCAGTTAAAAATGTTGTTTGTAAGGTCGATCTYCTTGACATCAGCTCAGACACTGCAACAAAACAAATTCATCTATAGTRACAGGAAAACCTCATGAACAACTTAATATATAAAACAAACACTGACTAGTTAAAATGATGTAAATGATGTTAGATATAACATCTGATTGGTTGGAACATTTCCAAGGATACCTACCAATCTTATCTTGCAGTGTGTGTCCATAGTTACTGTCCACAGCTTGCATGCAGTCCCTCCCCCCATGGGATAAKATTYTATTACATGCCATAAGATCAACACGCAAACCTTTACTGTCAATACCCAACATTTCATAGAACACTACACAGGACGTGGTTATTTGTGTGTTGGTGAAGTTTTGAATAGCAATGCGGTAGGCTTTCTTTGCAGCAATATTTAAACTGAAAGGMAAAAAATAAACACTTGCTATTCTAGGGAACATTATAACTTATTATAAATATAACAAGTTTGACTAGAAAACTGGGTTTAAAACCACCCTACTTCTAATCTTTTGCACTCTCTTTTAAGCAATGTACCTTGTTTTTGAAATGCTTGGTTCTTTTAAGTGTGTGACAACAAAAGCATTGAAGGCAAAGGAAGGCCGRCCATGCCTCAAGTAATAGGAAAATGTCAGCTGTTCTGTGTGAGCATATTYTGTGACTGTCGGTGCATGGGAAAAGTGAGACATTTCACAAAGATTTCCTAAAGAAAAACAAAACAAAACAAAACTGAGAAACTCCTACACTGTACATGTTTTCCTCTTCCTTCCTCCTTTTCTCCTTCTCTTCTCTCCAACCCTTTTTCCCTCTCCTCTTTCTTTTTTTCCTCTTCCTACCTTTCCTCCCTATTTTCCTCCCTCCTCCTACCCTCCCTTCTTCCTTTCCTCCTGATTTCTTCTCTTTCTCTGTCTTTCCCTACTCCTCCCTTCGCTCCTCTCCTCTCCTCCCTCCCTCCCTCCCTTCTTTCTTTTTTTCCTCTTCCTACCTTTCCTCCCTATTTTCCTCCCTCCTCCTACCCTCCCTTCTTCCTTTCCTCCTGATTTCTTCTCTTTCTCCGTCTTTCCCTACCTCCTCCCTTCGCTCCTCTCCTCTCCTCCCTCCCTCCCTCCCTCCCTCCCTCCCTCCTTTTCTTTACCTGCTCTTCTTGCCAGCTCATTAGTTCGCTGCCATCCAAACAAACGAGAAATTTCAAATTGACAGTTTCCCTAGAAAAACATTAGAAAACATCTTTTACCTTCACATCCTAAAAAGCTACAATTTTGAAAGATTAAGTTCCAACCTGAAGTAACTGATAGACTGTAATATCCTGTGGCTCAATACCATGCATACTAGTTGTGACTGGAAATATAGCATTCAGTAACTTAGGGAACAAAGACARTGACCTGCGCAGTAGCTCTTCATCAACTTGCCACTTGGAGTGCTCTGGAATTTCACCAGTAGAAATGATTGCCTASAMRARMACAYAWAMAWMTYTWWMAYAYWMTWKTG